CAAAAAAAAAAAAAAAAAAAAAAAAAAAAAAAAAAAAAAAGAAGAAGAAAAGAAATAAAACAACAAAAAAAAAGGAGAGCAAATAGTATGCTGTCATCTGCATTCAAACTCTATAGTTCTTTCTTTGAATGTGGATAGCATTTTCCATCATGAGGCCTTTGGAGATGTCTTAGATCCTTGTATTGCTGAGAAGGCTAAGTCTATCAATATTGGTCATTGCACAACATGGCTGTTACTGTGTACAATGTTCTCCTGGTTCTGCTCACTTCACTCAGCGTCAGACCATACAAGTCTTTCCAGGTTTTTCTGAAGTCTACTTGCTTATCATTTCTTATAGCACAATTCTATTCCATTACATTCATATATCGCAACTTGTTCAACCGTTCCCTAACTGTTAGGCGTCCCCTCAATTTCCAATTCTTTGCCACCACAAAAAGAGCTGCTGCAAATATTTTTGTACATGTGGATCCTTTTCCCATTTTTATGGTCTCTTTGAGATACAGACCTAGAAGTGGTATTGCTGGGAAGGGTATGCACAGTTTTATAGCCCTTTGGGCGTAGCTCCAAATTGCTCTCCAGAGTGGTTGGATCATTTCACAACTCCACCAACAATGCATTAGTGTTCCAATTTTCCCACATCTTCTCCAACATTTATCATTTTCCATTTATCATTTTCTTCTCCAACATTTATCATTTGTCATTATCATTAGCCATTGGCTAATTGTCAGATTAGACAATCTGATAGGTGTGATGTGGTACCTCAGAGTCATTTGATTTGCATTTCTCCAATCAATAGTGATTTAGAACATTTTTCATATGATTATAGATAACTTTAATTTCTTCCTCTAAAAACTGTCTTTCATATCTTTTGATCATTTATCAATTGGGGAATGACTTGTATTCTTATAAATTTGACTCAGTTCTCTATATATTTTAGAAATGATGCCCTTATCAGAGATACTGGCTGTAAAAACTGTTTCCCAGCTTTCTGCTTCCCTTCTAACCTTGGTTGTGTTGGCTTTGTTTGTGCAAAAGTTTTCAATTTAATGTAATCAAAGTCATCCATTTTGCATTTCATGAATGTTATCTGTCTCTTGTTTGGTCATAAGTTCTTTCCTTCTCCATAGATCTGATAGGTAAACTATTCTTTGCTCACCTAGTTTGCTTATAGTATCAGTATTTATATCTAAATCATGTACCCATTTTGACTTTATCTTGGTATAGGGCATAAGATGTTGGTCTATGCTAGTTTCTGCTTTACTCTTTTCCAGTTTTCCCAGCACTATTTTTGTCAAATAGTGAGTTCTTGTCCCAGAAGCTGGAGTCTTTGAATTTATCAAATAGTAGATGACTATAGTCATTGACTGTTTTGATGATTGCTGCTTTATAATACAATTTAAGATCTGCTACAGCTAGGCCACCTTCCCTTGTGTTTGTTTTCATTAGTTCCCTTGATATTCTGGACCTTTAGTTCTTCCAGATGAATTTTGTTATTGTTTTTTCTAGCTCTATAAAATAATTATTTGGTAGTTTGATTGGTATGGCACTGAATAAGTAAATTAATTTAGGTAGAATTGTCATTTTTATTATATTACTCAGCCTACCCATGAGCAACTGATATTTTTTCAATTATTTAGATCTGACTTTATTTGTGTGAAGTGTTTTGTAATTGAGTTTGTTTTGGCAGATAGACCCCTAAATATTATATAATGTCTACAATAACTTTAAATGGAATTTTTCTTTTTATCTCTTGCTGTTGGGCTTTGTTAGTAATATATAGAAATGCTGGTGATTTATGTGGGATTATTTTATAGCCTGCAACTTTGCTAAATTTGTTTATTATTTCAAGTAATTTTTCACTTGATTCTCTAGGATTCTCTGAGTATACCATCATATCATCTGCAAAGAGTGATAGCTTTGTTTCTTCTTTGCCTATTCCAGTTCCTTCAATTTCTTTTTCTTCTCTTATTGCTAAAGCTAACATTTTTAGTACACTATTGACTTACAGTAGTGATAATGACATCCTTGTTTCACCCCCGATCTTATTGGAAATGCTTCTAGTTTATCCCTGTTGCATATAATGCTTGCTGATGGTTTTTGATAGATGCTACCTATCATTTTAAGGAAGACTCCATTTATTCCTATGCTCTCTACTGTTTTTAATAGGAATGGGTGTTGTATTTTGTCAAATGCTTTTTTTGCGTCTGTTGAGATAATTATATGATTTCTGTTAGTTTTCTTGTTGATACGGTCTATTGTGCTGATAGTTTTCCTAATATTGAACCAGCCCTGCATTCCTGGTATTAATCCTACCTGGTTATAGT